AATGAACTGGTGATTATAATAGAATCAGGGGCATAGAACGGGAATGGACTGACTATTCTTGGGGAGGAAAGGGGTGTTGGGGATGCGGGAAGAGACTGGACAAAAATCGTGCACCTATGGATGAGGACAGTGGGTGGGGAGTGAGGGCGGAGGGTGGGGTGGGAACTGGGAGGAGGGGAGTTATGGGGGGGGGAAAAAGAGGAACAACTGTAATAATCTGAACAATAAAGATTTAATTAATCAAAAAAAAGAAAATACATCCTGCATATCAGATATTTATATTACAATTCATAACAGTAGCAAAATTAGAGTTATGAAGCAGCAATGAAAATAATTTTATGGTTGGGGGTCACCACAACATGAGGAACTGTATTAAAGGGTCGCAGCATTAGGAAGGTTGAGAACCACTGGACTAGAGGAAGCATATCTCAACATAATAAAGGACATATGACAAACCTACAGTGAACATCATACTAAATGGGCAAAAACTAAAACCATTTCCCCTAAGAATAGGAAGAAGACAGGGATGCTGGCTTTTACCACTCTTATTCTAGCACTGGAAGGCCTAGCCACAGCAAGTCCAAGTTGGAAAGAAAGAAGTAAAACTCTCATTATTTGAAAATGACATGATATTGCACATAGAAAACTCTAAAGACTCCACCAAAAACTACTACATTTAATAAATGAACTGGCAATGTAGTAGGATACAAAATTAACATCCAGAAATTGATGGCTTTTTTATACACCAATAATGAGTTATCAGAAAGAGAAACTAAACAAATAATCCCATTTACCATTGCAACAAAAAAATTAAGATACTTAGGCCTGGTCAGCATGGCTCAGTGGCTGAGCTTTGACCTATGAACCAGGAGGTCACTGTTCAATTCCAGATCAGGGTACATGCCCGGTTTGAGGGCTCGATCCCAGTAGGGGGCATGCAGGAGGCAGCAGATTGATGATTCTCTATCATCATTGATGTGTCTATCTCTCTCTCTTTTCTTATCTGAAATCAATACAAATATATATTTTTTTAAATTTTAAGATACTTAGGAATAAACTTAACCAAGGAGGTAAAAGACTTGTACTCAGAAAACTATAGGACGTTGAAAAAAGAGAGATAGAGGAAGACATAAACAAGTAGAAGAATATACTGTGTTCATGGATTGTTAAAATTAATATCATTAAAATGTCCATATTACTCAAAGCAATCCACAGATTCAATGCAATCCCTATTAAAATACTAATAGCATATTTCACTGACCTAGAACAAATACTCCAAAAATTTATATGGAACTAAAAAAGACCCCAAATAGCCACAGCAATCTTGAGAAAGAACAAAGTTGGAGGAATCACAATACCAAGTATCAAGTTACACTACAAAGCCACTGTAATCAAAACAGCCTGATACTGGCACAAGAACAGGCATATAGATCAATGGAACAGAACAGAGACCCAAGAAATCGACCTAAGCCATTATGCTCAATTAATATTTGACAAAAGAGGCAAGAATATACAATGGAATCAAGACAGTCTCTTCAGTAAATGGTGTTGGGAAAATTGGACAGATACATGCAAAAAATGAAATTAGACCACCATACATAAGAATAAACTCAAAATGGATAAAAAACTTAAATGTAAGTCGGGGAACCACAAAGATCTTAGAAGAAACCAGAGGCAGCAAAATTTCAGACATCTCCCATAGGCAAAGGAAATGGAGGAGAAAATAAACAGATGGGACTACATCAAAATAAAAAGTTTCTGCACAGCAAAAGAAGCCATCAACAAAACAAAAAGGGAGCCCACTGTATGGAAGAACATATTCGGCAATGATACATCTGTTAAAGGGTTAATATCCAAAGTATATAAGGAACTCATGCAACTTAACAAAAGGAAGACAAACAATCCAATTTAAAAATAGGCAAAGCCTAAATAGACATTTCTCCAAAGCAGACATACAGATGGCCAAGACACATATGAAAAAATGCTCAAAGTAGTGCACCGATCATCAGAGAGATGCAAATTAAAAAACCCTTGTGCACTGCTGGTGGGAATACAGACTGGTGCAGCCATTAGGGAAAATGGAATAGAGTTTCCTCAAAAAATTAAATATGGAACTACCACTTGATCCAGTGATCCTACTTCTAGGAATATACCCTAAGAAACCCAAAACACCAATCAGAAAGAATGTATGCACCCCGATGTTCATAGTAGCACAATCCTATATAATAAAACCCTAATATGCAAAGCAACTAAACAGTGGAACGACTGGTCGCTATGACGTGCACTGACCACCAGGGGGCAGACTCTCAACGCAGGAGCTGCCCCCCTGGTGGTCAGTGCGCTCCAACAGGGGGAGCACCGCTCAGCCAGAAGCAGGGCTCACGGCTGGCGAGCACAGCTGTGGCAGGAGCCTTTCCCGCCTCTGCTGCAGGCAATGAGGAGTGTTGGACTGCGAGAGGGTGCAGGCCTGGCTGAGGGACACTGGGCCTCTAGTTTACAATATAAGATCTGGAAACAGCCCAAGTGCCCATCAGTAGATGAGTGGATAAAAAAGCTGTGGTACATTTACACCATGGAATACTACGCAGCAGTAAAAAAAAACACAACAGGATCTCTTACCCTTTGAAACAGCATAGAGGGTCCTGGAGAGCATTATGCTAAGTGAAATAAGCCAGTCAGAGAAAGACAAGTATCACATGATCTCACTCATATGTGGAATCTAATGAACAAAGTAAACTGATGAACAAAATAGATCCAGAGACATAGAAGCATAGAACAGACTGAGGAATCTGGGTGCCGTGATCAACCAAAGAACTTGTGTGCATATATGGCTAACCTATGGACACAGACAATAGGGCAGTGAAGGCTTGGGGCAGGGAGCGGGGGTGAGCTAGAAGGGGTCAATGGGGGAAAAAGAGAGACATATGTAATACTTTCAATAAAGATTTGAAAAATAAAATGCAATCATTTAAAAATGTAAAAACCATTCTTAACCTTATGGACTGTGCAAATACAATTGCTTGGAGGGGGAGCAGTGTGAAGGGGGTCCATGGGGGGATTTAATTGATTAATTAATTAAAATTGGAATCAAAGATTGTAAAAGAAACAAACAACAGAAACAATCAGTGGGCTGGCTTTGGCCTATGGGTAAGCCTTGATCAAGATTGTGACTGCTCCCTGCGGTCGATCTATTTCCCCACACCCCATACCACGTAGATAACGCCACAGCAGCCACAGGGCCCTTTAACACACAGATTGGACCCTGTCACTCTCCTACCTGAAGCCTTCCTGGGACTCTCCTTTGCCCCCAGGATAAGGGATAAGGTAAAACCTCCCACTCCCGGCACCTGCGGGCCCAGATCCCTTTTCTCAGCTGTCCTTCCTCTAGTCCTCCAGGCTCAGGGTGACTTTGACCTCTGAGCTGCTGCTGACATTCCCAGGTTCCCAGGCTACCGGCAGGGGGGGGGGGGGGTGGGCACAGCCCGCCAAACACACTTGTGCTCACAAAGCTCACACAAGGCAGGCCGAGTATGAGGCTCCTTATCGCCTGTGATCCCTAGGCTGCACCTGCCTGCCTCTGGGCCCCGAATGCCCTTTGTCCAGGAGCCAGCACTCACAGTCTGCCCTGGGCATAGACCTCCCTGCCCATGCTTTTCCCACAGCCTCCTAACCCACACCTCCTCCCACTCTCTCTGCCCTCTCTCCGCCCTCTGCCTCCCCCCCCCCTCCTGCCGTGTCAGTAGGAGGAGCGCAGGACTCCACAACCTTTGACACTTAAGGCATTTAAGAACTCTACAACCTTTGTCATTTAAGGCACCTCAGTTCTTTGCTCATCTGTGTCATGGGGATAACGAAGGATATTTAAAATGTTTAACAACCTTTAGGTGGAAGACACAGCCCAGGAAAGTTAAGTAACCTGCCCAAAGGCACAGGTGAGGCTAGGCTAGGGGCAGGGTACCTAAGTGCCTGCTTTGCTGGGGTGAATCCCTCGAAAAATTGTGAGGTTCTGAGAACGCACCTGGTGATCGTGGCAGTGTGTGTGTGTGTGTGTGTGTGTGCGTGTGCGTGTGTGTGATGGCTGTTGACCAACCTACACAGAGTGCGTCCGTATTTTAACACCCGGACAGTGGTGCCTGTGACTAGGCTGAGCACCATCCTGGGGGTGGCAGCTTCTGCCCGGTCTGGTGCCAGCAGATGAAATGAGGAACCCACATACTCCCAATCACCTCTCTTCCCAATCCTCAGTGCTGGGCCCTCCTCAAAAATGTTCCCTTCGGCAGAGCTGAAGTTTGGGCAGCTGTGGCCTCCCAGCCTTAACAGATGTGTTCGCTGTGGGGGTGGGGGAGGTAAAGGATTCTCCTGTGTGATTCCAGCCCAGGGCCCAGCCAGGTCTGTGCTGGGCAGAGTAAAGGCGTCTCTTCATTCCATCCCACAAGAGCACGGCAAGATCAGCATTGCGATTCCTGTTACACAGATGAGTCAAGTAGAGGCCTGGAGAGGTCAGGCAGGGGTCCGCCAAGGCCACATGGCTGGTCTGTTGTCCAGTTGGAGTTCAACCCACGTTTACCTGGTAACCCACTCTCTCCCTAGTCCACATTCAGCCTGTACTTTCTCTCTCCATTCAATTTTTCCCCTGTTCCTTTCTCCTCCCCCCTTCCCCTTCTCCCTCTGCCTCCTGCTCTCTGAAAGGAAGGAAGGAAATCCATCCCCTCTGAGTAGCCTGAGGGACCCTTTCCTGGAACTGCCTAGATTCTTCCCCAGCCACAGGCAGCAGGAGGCAGGTGCTCTGTCCTAGTACTAAGGTGGAATCCACAGCCCAGGAAAGTTAGATCCTGGCTTCTGCCCCACCCGATGCCCACACCGACCATACCCTCCGGGCAGGGACTCAGCACAGCCAAGCCCCCGTTAGGATTGATGTCTTTCCACCATCAACGCATTGAGTGCACCTAAATTGCAGGTGCCCACCGTGTCTCCCCAGCCCCCGAGACCAGCTGCCTTACCCAAGGCCAAGAAGCAGAAGACCCACTGTAGGACCGAGAGGGTCTGCAGCCTGCGCTCCCATGGCACGGACCAGGGCGCAAACTCCACCATGCTGGTTCCTCTGTGGGCTCTGGAGGCTTCTGAGTAGCACCGTGCTCCCAGGCACCCAAAGGGTTTTGTTACTGGCAGAGGCTGTATAAGCTTTTGTGGGGGAGGAGGCTGCCCCGCCCAGCCAGGCCCAAAGGCCTCCCTGCCCCCACCCTGCAGGAGCCTGTTTCCTAGAAGAAACCTTTGAATCCTTGTGCCCAGGGCTCAGCTAAAAGGAGAAAGAGAAGGAAGTGTATAGCCTTTATCCAGGACAGCTGTCTCCTTAGGCAACACCTTATCTACAGGATCACCTCTTGCTGGTTGCTTGAATCTTGCCCTTCGCTCATCTATAATAATAAAAGAGTAATAAGCAAATCGACTGAACCAAACAGACCCGTCCTGACGACCACGCTATGACACCCACTGGCACCAGGCCAGCCAAGGCGGTGCAATGCGATTGGTTGGGAGCTGGCCATCACCCCATGATTGCCCTACAGAAGGAGGACCAGGCCACTGGCCGGTGGGGTGATTAATCAATGGGGGGTTCCACGATCGCCCCAAAGAGGGCAGCCCAGGCCACTGACCAGTGGGCTGCGGCAGATGGGCAGGGCCTCCCTCTGGGGGAAGGGGGACGATTGATCAAGGGGCTCCTGGAGTGTGAGAGGGCGCAGGCTGGGCTGAGGGACCCCCCATCCAGTGCTCAAATTTCATGCATTGGGTCTCTAGTCAAGTATAATACTATCCTGTCCTCTTCCCACCTACCCAGTGATCTGGCTGCAGTAATGGTCTCCTCTCTCTTCTGCCATGTTCATTGTTCCCCCTCTCCAAATATGCTCTTATCTAAAAACTAGAGGCCCGGTGCACAAATTTGTGCAAGGGTGAGTTCCAGCTGGCCCCACCCACAATTGGGGGGTGATCGGGCTGGCCAGGCGGAGGGACCGCAGGCAGTTGGCAGGCTAGCCCCATCCCCTGGTTGAACTCCTGGTCAAACTCCCAGTCGAGGGGACAATTTGCATATTAGCCTTTTATTAGATAGGATCTCTTGGCTCTGTTTGCGGCAGCTGGAATGGCACCAGGTGTTAGACTGGTGGGTTCAGCAACCTTGGTACTTGAGTTCTGGAAAGTTGCAGAGGTAGAAGTGGGTGGTAGAAGAAATGGGCTCAGGAAACAAGTTACAGAGGCAAAAGACAGGCCCTTGATGCTTAGAAGAAAAGAAGGTAAAGGTAACACACGTGGGGAGCAGAAGAGGGGGAGGGAGAGGAGAACAGCATGGACGGGCTCCCAGGAGGGAGAGTGTGGGAGGGAGAGTGTGCGGTTCTTCTTCCCAAGGGCTTTTAAGGGAGGAGAAAGAAAGGGGGCGGGGAGGAGAGACCAGTGCGAGAGAAGGAGAAAGTCATCAAGCACTGGCTGTGAGGCGCTCCCTCTGGTGGTCATTCTGAGAAACTGTGGGCAGGATGGACTGCTTTCCAGGGAGAAGCCCAGATATTAGGCAAAGGTGAGACGGGGACTTACAGAGATAGCTAAAGGATTTATTTCTACTGGCTTTGGTGGAGAAGAGCTAAATCTTCTCTGGCCTGGTCAGCATGGAGAATTCTGAGCCTGGGGCTTGGACCAGACAGGCTTTCCATGCTCTGGTGATGAATGTGCTGGATGGGCACTCACCGTAGGCTGAATAATGGCCTCCAAAGATGACCACATCCTAAGGTCCAGAGCCTGTGAATGCTACCTTAGATAGCAAAAGGGACCCTGCAGAGGTGAGTAAGTTAAGGAGTTTGAGAGTCTCCTGAATTCGTCTGTATTCTGGAATTTTGATGTTGCTTTATTTTCTTTTTTATTTTTTTTTTATTTTTTTTTAATTTTTATTATTTTTTTTTTTATTGCTTAAAGTATTACAAAGGGTATTACATATGTGTCCATTTTATCCCCCCGCCCTAGACAGTCCCCTAGCCTCCCCTATCCCCCAATGTCTTATGTCCACTGGTTATGCTTCTATGCATGCATACAAGTCCTTTAGTTGATCTCTTACCCCCCTACCTCCTGCCCCGCAACCCTCCCCGGCCTTCCTGCTGCAGTTTGACAATCTGTTTGAGGCAGCTCTGCCTCTGTATCTATTATTGTTCAAAAGTTTATAATGGTCTCTATTATCCATGAATGAGTGAGATCATGTGGTATTTTTCCTTCATTGACTGGCTTATTTCACTTAGCATAATGCTCTCCAGTTCCATCCATGACGTTGCAAATGGTAAGAGTTCCTTCCTTTTTAGAGCAGCATAGTATTCCATCGTGTAGATGTACCACAGTTTTCTAATCCATTCATCTACTGATGGGCACTTAGGCTGTTTCCAGATCTTAGCTATGGTGAATTGTGCTGCTATGAACATAGGGGTGCATATATCCTTTCTGATTGGTGTTTCTGGTTTCTTGGGATATATTCCTAGAAGTGGGATCACAGGGTCAAATGGGAGTTCCATTTTCAGTTTTTTAAGGAAACTCCATACTGTCTTCCATAGTGGCTGCACCAGTCTGCATTCCCACCAGCAGTGCACAAGTGTTCCTTTTTCTCCACATCCTCTCCAGCACTTGTCGTTTGTTGATTTGTTGATGATAGCCAGTCTGACAGGTGTGAGATGGTACCTCATTGTTGTTTTGATTTGCATCTCTCGGATGATTAGTGACTTTGAGCATGTTTTCATATGTCTCTTGGCTTTCTGAATGTCCTCTTTTGAAAGGTGTCTATTTAGGTCCTTTGCCCATTTTTTGATTGGATTGTTTATCTTCCTTTTGTTAAGTTGTATGAGTTCCCTATAAATTTTGGAGATTAGGCCCTTATCAGATAGGACATTGGCAAATATGTTTTCCCACACAGTGGGTTTTCTCGTTGTTTTGTTGATGGTTTCTTTTGCTGTGCAGAAGCTTTTTATTTTGATGTAGTCCCATTTGTTCATTTTCTCTTTAGTTTCAAGTGCCCTAGGAGCTGTATCAGTGAAGAAATTGCTTCGGCATATGTCTGAGATTTTGTTGCCTTTGGATTCTTCTAGAATTTTTATAGTTTCCTGTCGTACATTTAAGTCCTTTATCCATTTTGAGTTTATTTTTGTGTATGGTGTAAGTTGGTGGTCTAGTTTCATTTTCTTGCATATATCTGTCCAATTTTCCCAGCACCATTTATTGAAGAGACTATCTTGGCTCCATTGTATGTTCTTGCCTCCTTTGTCAAATATTAATTGAGCATATTGGTTCGGGCCGATTTCTGGGCTCTCTATTCTATTCCATTGATCTATATGCCTATTCTTGTGCCAGTACCAGGCAGTTTTGAGAACAGTGGCTTTGTAATACATCTTGATATCTGGTATTGAGATCCCACCTACTTTGGTCTTTTTCAGGATTGCTGCAGCTATTCGAGGTCTTTTTTTATTCCAGATGAATTTTTGGAGAGTTCGTTCTAGATCTCTGAAGTATGCCGTTGGTATTTTAATGGGAAGTGCGTTGAATTTATAGATTGCTTTGGGTAGTATGGACATTTTAATGATGTTGATTCTACCAATCCATGAACACGGTATGTTCTTCCATCTGTTTATGTCTTCCTCTATCTCTTTTTTCAACGTCCTGTAGTTTTCTGAGTAGAGGTCTTTTACCTCTTTAGTTAAGTTTATTCCTAGGTAGCTTAATTTTTTTGGTGCGATGGTAAACGGGATTGTTTTTATAATCTCTCTTTCTGAAAGTTCACTATTGGTGTATAGAAATGCCTCGGATTTCTTGGGGTTAATTTTGTATCCTGCTACATTGCCAAATTCATGTATTAAGTCCAGTAGCTTTTTGATGGAGTCTCTAGGGTTTTGTATGTATAATATCATGTCGTCTGCAAATAAGGACAGTTTTACTTCCTCTTTTCCAATTTGGATGCCTTTCTTCTTCTTGCCGAATTGCAATGGCTAACACTTCCAGTACTATGTTGAACAGGAGTGGTGAGAGGGGGCATCCCTGTCTTGTTCCTGTTCTTAGGGGAAATGGTGTTAGTTTTTGTCCATTGAGTATGATGTTGGCTGTGGGCCTGTCATATATGGCTTTTATTATGTTGAGGTATGATCCTTCTACTCCCACCTTGCTGAGAGCTTTTATCAAAAATGGGTGTTGAATTTTGTCGAATGCTTTTTCTGCATCAATTGATATGACCATGTGGTTTTTTTCTTTCAATTTGTTTATGTGATGTATCACGTTTATTGATTTGCGGATATTGTACCATCCTTGCATCCCTGGGATAAATCCTACTTGGTCATGGTGTATGATCTTTCTGATGTACTGCTGGATCCGATTTGCTAAGATTTTGTTGAGGATTTTGGCATCTATGTTCATGAGGGATATTGGCCTGTAATTCTCTTTCATTGTGTTGTCTTTACCTGGTTTTGGTATTAGGGTGATGCTGGCTTCATAGAATGAGCTTGGAAGTGTTCCTTCCTCTTGAATTTTTTGTAGTAGTCTGAGGAGGATAGGTTTTAGTTCTTCCTTGAATGTTTGGTAAAACTCCCCTGTGAAGCCGTCTGGTCCTGGGCTTTTGTTTGCTGGAAGCTTTTTGATGACTGCTTCAATTTCTTCCATAGTTATTGGCCTGTTGAGATTTTTAGATTCTTCCTGATTGAGTTTTGGAATGTTGTATTTTTCTAGGAATTTGTCCATTTCCTCCAGGTTGTCTAGTTTGTTGGAGTAGAGCTGTCCATAGTATTTTTTAACAATCATTTGTATTTCTGTGGGGTCTGTTGTTATTTCGCCTCTATCGTTTCTGATTTTGTTTATTTGGGTCCTCTCTCTTTGCTTCTTGGTGAGTCTGGCTAGAGGTTTGTCAATCTTGTTTATCCTTTCAAAGAACCAGCTCTTGGTTTCATTGATTTTCTGTATTGTTTTTTTGGTCTCTATGTCATTTATTTCTGCTCTAATCTTTATTATCTCCTTCCTTCTGCTCACTCTGGGGTTTTCTTGTTGCTCTCTTTCTAATTCTTTGAGTTGTAGAGTTAGATGATTTACTACCATTTTTTCTTGTTTGTTGAGATAGGCCTGTAGAG